TGAGTAGGTGGAAATGAGAAAGAAAGAAAACGCCTGGAAAATGGGGGCGAGGAGGGGAGAGAAAAACATTTAGGAGAACAATGCAACAAAAATAGATTTATAGCTTTCTGTTGTGAATAGAACCAAGATTTTCAATAATTGTTTATGAAAGCACATAGAGGCCATGCACAAAATAATGCTTCAAGAAGAAAAATGGTCAGTGTGAGATTGTTAAAAGGTTCTGTACAGCACTTCTTTCCTTAGAATAAATCTCAGTGTGCCCAGCGTGGACTTGTGACTCCTTAACTAGTGTGATTGTGATTGCAGGATCAGTAACTGAGCTGTGCTTGGATGGCTTGTCTTAGACAGTTCATAAATGCAATACTGCAAATGTATTGCAGCAGCAGCAGCAGCAGCAGCTGCTGTTAGTACTACTACTATAATACAATTTATCGTAAATGGCAAGTTTCTAGTAGAAGGATACTTTCATTTACATTTGGGTCCAGATTTTGGATCAGTGGTTTTTTTTAATTCACTGGTACTGTAATGGGGGGATTATCACTGCAACTGCCATTTTATATTTATAAGGTTGACTTCAATTTATAAGGGTGAAAGCCTAAGGGGATGGGCAAAAAACCAATTCAGGTCAATGAAGAAAAACAAGGTGTTGTTAGAAAGGGGACAGAGGGAAACGATTAAACATTGTTCTGTCATCTTTCCTGCATTTCTGACAAATGCTGTTTTCCAGCAAAAAAAACCCAACAACAACTCCCTATATTTTCTTACAATATTGTCATGAGATATTAAAATTTGTTTAATGGTATTTTTGACTCTACTTTGTTGTTGTGCAATGGCAGTGGATGATTCTTCCCTCCCTCCCTCCCTCCCTCCCTCCCTCCCTCCCTTCCTTCCTTCCTTCCTTCCTTCCTTCCTTCCTTCCTTCCTTCCTTCCTTCCTTCCTTCCTTCCTTCCTCCCTTCCTTCCTTCCTTCCTTCCAACATGTTCCTCTACAAACACTTTGGCTGCCCAGTTTGCCTGAACTGAAAAGTCCTTACGAGAGAAGTTTTCTCCTGCTGTCTTCCTTGGGTTTTATTGGAATTGTGAGGCCCAGGGCTTTTTTTGTCATAGAACGCCCAGAACGGAGTTCCGGCACCTTTTTTGGATGGAACCTTGTAGGGTAGGCAAGGCGGGTTGTATGACGTGTGTGAATTCCGGCACCCTTTTTTTTTTTTTAGAAAAAAAGCACTGGTGAGGCCATTAAACTATTTAAGAAATGATTGTAGAGTGAACTGCAGGAGACTCGCTTCTCCTCCTGAAAGGAACTGGAACAACCTTTACCCTCTGCATGGAATTTTCACCCAATATTTTTTTTAGTGAAAAAAAAAATGAAATACAAATAATTTTCAATCAAACAGAAAAAGAACCGTTTAAAAATGCAGACAGGCGTTTCAGTGGCATTATCATGGTTTGCTATCAAGCCAGAAGGCTGCTCTACGTATAAGCAAGAACATCATAGCGTAAATGGACTCTACATTTGCTTTGGCCAAATGACATAACTTTTATTAAATGCTACAGCTACCTTTTCTGATTGAAATGCTTCCAGCTGCATTCCTTTTGAGGTCGCTTCATTTATGCTGGTTTCTGTCCTTCTGCCAGACATCATGGTTTGACTCTGACTTGTCATCTTCTGCAGACAAATAAAAATAATTCCGCATTTTTCAACTTGGTAGTAAATTTTAATAAAACCCTAAGCCATCTTATTTTATTTTTCTTGAAAATGATTCTTCAGGGGCATATATACATGCAGAGACACACAAATACACAATGCTGCTAGATTATAATTAACCATGTAATTGAAAGGGTAAAATATGTATGGAGGCAAGAGTTGGGAGATGATAAAGACGGTAACTTCATTATTACAAGGAACCTGAAATTTTTCTTTTATTATTAGTGTAGTGTATGATATATACCAGAGAACATTGCAAACAGTGACCTGGGTTTTAATGCAAGCTTTATTGACAATTGTCAGACTCCTAACGCCTGGCAAAGATGTGAACAGAATACATAGAAAAATGTAAACTTTCCAATGTTGAGGATGAGTTAAAAGTTCTGTACATAGATTGATTACATTTGTAAGTGGCTGGGTTCACACATTGCTCTAGGCCGTTGTGTAGTTTGTAAACTGTTGGAATGGTGAAATTGCTATGTTTGCATAACATACTAGGATAAAGGAAATAATTTGTGCCCAACTGAGTTAGTTTGTGATTTGGAACACCTTGCAAAACGAGACAACCAGCAAACAGAAGTTAATTATGAGCTTGCATATCCGGAAAATATATCCAATGTGTGAACAAAGTGTGTGGATTATCTGCACAGTTTTAGTCTGTAAATCCTATGTGTTGTGTTGCCAGAAGAGGCAATGCCAGGCCCATTTCCAATGATGCAACGCAATTTTGTAGTTGCTTGTTTCATAATATGAATCGCAGCAGTATGCAAAGCTTTGCCATCAATACAAATTAAGCATTATGGCTCCCTGAATTCTGCAGGGTTTTTAAACACATTTCATAAATTCCTTTCACTCCTGGCTCCAGGTGCTCCCTAAAACTATGAATTTGAGCCTTTAAAAAAAGAGTACAGACCGACCTTGAACAGTGGTATCATCAGTTTGGTTGGAAGCAAGATCTGGGGACTATACAATATGTGCAAGGAGGAAGAAGAGATAGCAGAGCAATTGCAGTTAGCAAAAAAAAAAAAAAAAAAAAAGGCTGTCTGCAAAGAAGGAAGGAAAAACTGTAGGCTTTTCACAGTCAGAATTTAGCCCAGTCCTGCTGAGTCCAGTTCCTTTCTGGGCCTGAGCAAGCAGCATTGCTCTTTTCTCTCCCATAAAACCAGGGCACATTGCCTGCTGTACCTATCAATTCAGGGATTCAGCCAGCTGCCTGCCACTTGGTTTCACATGCCCCTTCATTGTTTTTGTAGCTACACTGAAGTGATTAAGCTTCTCTCGAGCAAGTATTCCAAGAGTAGGCTGAGTTGTATATTATCCTATTCTTAGGCTCAAATGGACTTTTGGCTACTAATTGTTGCTTCTCTTTTCTTCATTCCACTAAGTCTATAGAGTGCTGGGCAAGGAAAGAATGATCTGTGGAACCCTCTAATACAGAGATGGCGAACCTTTTAGAGACCGAGTGCCCAAACTGCAACCCAAATTCCACTTATGCATCGTCGGGTGCCAGGTGGGTGTGGCCCATTGGGTGGGCATGGCTGCAGTGGTAACAGCAGACTGGGTGGTACTAAAAAGTTCAATCAATCAATTCCAACTTTGCAAGATCTTTTTTTTTCCGTGAGAAGTTGAAATTGACTGATTGAACCTTTTTTTTTTTTGTACACGGCGGTGGAGGCCTAAAGCGAAAAGGTTTTATAAAACCCAGCTGAAGACCTAGGACTGGGGCAATGGTGCGCGTGCCCACAGAGAGGGCTCTGAGTGCCACCTCTGGCACCCGTGCCATAGGTTCGCCACCACTGCTCTAATATAACATACAAGAAACTCCTTCTAAATCAAGTTTTTCTATAACTGGAGCAAGAGTTTTTATGGAGTTTAGATCCTTTCCTGGCCCTATATAGGTAGTCAGTAGTGGGATTCAGCCAGTTCACACCAGTTTGGCAGAACCAGTAGATAAATTTTGTTGAGTTTGGAGAACCAGTTGAATGCACACTGCTTCCGGAAATCTGTTCTAGGCCTCGGAGGCCTAGAGGAGGCCTCCCAGGCCTAGAACGGCCTGCCAGAAGTGCGTGGATGCCACTTGGGTCCTCGACTTACGACCACAATTGAGCCCAAAATTTCTGTTGCTAAGTGAGACATTTGTTAAGTGAGTTTTGCCCATTTTATGACTTTTTTTTGCCACACTTGTTAAGTGAATCACTGCAGTTGTTAAATTAATAACATGGTTGATAAGTGAATCTGGCTTCCCCGTTGACTTTGCTTGTCAGAAGGTTACAAAAGGTGATCACATGACCCAAGGGCACTACAATCGTCTTAATGTGAGTCAATTGCCAAGCGTCTGAATTTTGATCACGTGACCATGGGGATGCTGCAATGGTCATACATGTGAAAAATGGTCATAAGTAACTTTTTTCAGTGCTGTTGTAACTTTGAACGGTCACTAAATGAACCGTTGTACATTGAGGACTACCTGTATAGAGATGAAGCCAGACCTTTCTGCAAGAAAAACATGGGTCCCACCACTGCACAAAAGCTATATTATTTTTCCCCAAATTGGAAATAGCCATTGCTCTACAAATACCTCTAACTCATAGCTTCAGTGTCTCACCTTATGTGCCCTCTGACAATCAAAATAAACTCGCCCACCCAATTCATGGTTCAAATATATGGAGTGGCAGAAAACATTCAGCAAAGTGGCACTTAACTGGCACAAATTTAGCAGCAGCTGGATGGCTATCTGTCAGTAATACTGGGTGGCATTCTTGCCTTTCTGCATCCAGCACAATGTTAGGTTTGATCATCTCCTTGTCTTTTCCAGCTCTATGACTCTTGGATGATGTAATAAGAGTCTCTCCCTCTAAGGCAGGGGTGTCAAGCTCGCCATGTCATGTGACGTGTCACGATGTATCACGACTTTTTCCCCCTTGCTGGAGCTGGGGTGGGCATGGCTTCTGCGTGATGCATCCCAGCAGTTTGACACCCCTGCTCTAAGGTCCAGCTGGGATTCACCTAGATAGGCCTTCCCCGAGCTGCAGAAGAGGAGGATTTTGCAATGCTATGAAGCAGTTTGGCCCAACAACATCCATTTACTTAGAAGTATGCATGTAAAAACCCACTCAAGCTAAAAATGCTGTTTTTCCTTGTCCAAACGGTGAGAGAGTGTTAATTTTTCAGCCACTCTTCCTCTTCACAGCAGACCCAGTGAAATCCTCCAAGCCTGCTTTAGAAACTTGGCAGACTCTTTGGGAACAGATTTTGAGAAGGGGATGTTATGATGGAAAGGGGAAACCACCAAGTATCACTTTCCTCCCCATTTCACAGATGGATGGTTTTTATTGGCAGAGAGACACTTGCTGGTCACCATCCAATATGATAACAATAAGCAACAACCAAGCAGTCGGTTCATTTGCACTTTTCCTCCTAAAATTATTTACTACGTTAGGATTAGATTAAAGAAGATGCGTACGTCTATTAAAAATAGTCTGAACTCCAGCTATGTGTACGTTTAGATCTTGTGTATGTTTTTTGAGCGTATGTTTTGATTTCAGTTTAGGGGAAAACGGCTTCCTCAGTGGCAAAAATTGCTTCAGCCTGCTTGCTAATATCTTGGTCAATTGGATGTTTTCCTTTAGCATTTAAAAGACAGAATGAGTCCTGGAGGGGAAGAAGCTTAAATATTAGTTTTAGAACATTTTATATACCACCCTTCTCATAAGACTTCATATGGTATCCAGCAAAATATAAAAAAACAAAGAAAAATATAATATCCTTTAATAAACATAAAAAGTGTCCACAACCTCATTATGGGACTAATCAAGGAGAGAAGCAACCTAGAACTAAAGAGAAACTTCCTGACAGAACAATTAACCAATGGAACAACCTGCCTCCAGAAGCGGTGAATGCTCCAACTCTGGAAGTTTTTAAGAAGAGATTGGACAGCCATCTGTCCGAAATGGTATAGGGTTTCCTGCCTGAGCAGGGGGTTGGACTCGATGATCTCCAAGATCCCTTCCAACTGTATTATTATTATTATTATAATAAGTAAAACAGATTTCAGGTCTTCCTAACCGAAAGGAGAGTTAGAATCAACTATACTTCTAGGGTTAGCCGAAAATGCAAAGGGAAATGCAAAAGATTGGCAAACTCTAGTAATAAAAGTCAAGGAGCACAGTGAAAAAAATGGAACTAAAATTAAATACAAAGAAGAGCAAACTCATGACAACAACTAGAACAATTGGCTTTGGGATTAACAATGAAGATACTGAAGTGATGGGTATTTTCTGCCTTTTAGGATGAACCATTAACAGTAAAGGAAGAGGCAGTCAAGAAATACTATCTACTGTATATGATCACTAACAGTCAACACTGACTTAATAAAACACAACCAATCAATCAACCAATTTTTTTTGGGGGGGGAGGAGGCGGCTATTAGCATATTCCCAGATTATAGGCTACTGTGAAGAAGTAGACTGTGTTTAAATTTCTTGCATCTTCTGAATTTTCCACAGACCTCTTAATATCTGGACTGGACAAGCAGTATCATAGTGGTGTAGCTCTGTGTGTGTGTGTGTGTGTGTGTGTGTGATATACATATACATTACACACAGATATACATATACATTACACACAGATAAGCACACATAGAGGCATGCATTGGATATAATAACTCCTTTCAGTGTGTGCACTCTTTTAAAAAAAACTTCACATATGATAATACTTGGATTATGGCAATAATGTACATTGAGAAAGCAATCAGACTGGCTACAAACAAAATCTATCAAATTCATATAAAATGGATAGCAGCAGGGGGAAGAGTGAGTGAAATTATTTAGACGGCCCTTTTTTCATAAATGTAATTGTGAAACTGCTATTGTAAAGGAATTTTCATACAAAAACAGCACACAGCAGAAAGCGAATACAGAAAAATCAAAGCAAGAATAGATGTTAAGAACTGTTCAAGATTGAT